ATATGAGAGTTAGTTAACTAATTTAAATAGATTAAGAAAATTAGTTAAGTTAGTTATTTATAATAAATATATATTATCTTTCCTAAAATATCTTTACAAATAAACTAAACAAAAATACATGATAAGAGCAAAAAAGAAATGCATAGCTTCTATCCATAAACTTTCAAATTAAACGACTTGAGAGTCACAATAACATGAAGAAAATTAACTTACATATTTGCGTTATATATATATATATATATATATATATATATAAAATACTCCAAGAAACAATCGATTTTAGAGGCTATGTGATTTCATGGGTAAAATTCTAAAGATCCTTTTATATATGGACATCCGCGTTATAAGGATATTTTTAGCAGTATGTATACGAAGCTATTAAGCAGTTAATATTGCTGGCTTATTCCTTTCTTTCTTTTTCGGTTCAAACTTTTTTGGTCCAACTTATTCTTTTCTTTTCATTATATTCTTCCAAAATTATGATAAACTCATCAAGTCGATCTATCATCCACTTCTTTTAATCCCATAAATTAATCTTCTGATATTTACATATACCACCATAGCTATTTATCATCACTGTTCAAGTTCGATGCAAGAACTCCATTAATTAAAATGTCATCAGGCATGCCTATGGATCTATTTACATGTGGAGGCCATTATCCTTGATTCCAATTAAGTCTAAACATATGTTGACAAAAGTGTATTATTGCATCGTATTGATTGAAGTTTGTATAATTTAAATTTTAAAAAACATTTTTTTTGTTTTTATAAACATCAAAGTAAAAAAACGTATTCAAGTACGTGACTTGTATTTACTTCTTTAAACTTAATATTTATATTTTTTTGTATTGATGGAATAGATAAACAAAAATATCTATAACAAAAGTAAAAAAAAAAAAAGAAGCATATATATCCAAGGAGGGGAGAGACGAGACTGTCCCACGCCCGTCCCATCCCGTTCCGACTTTTATTTTATCTTATCCTGCTTTTGTCCTGTTCCAATCAGGACACTATGAGATTTGTCTCTCCTTTTTCAGTGGCATGTCTTTTTACTCTTGGATATAACTTGTTTGCATCATTTGTTGATGTGAATACAATTGAGTTGATGTGGAAAATTTTACTTTGAGATAAAATTAGGCTTAATAACAGATACATAATAAAGTAGAAAGACTCATAAATTTGAGTCATAACCTGAGTTAAAATATTGTTTCATTCACTCTTGCTTGTGTATTTGTTCTCTCCCTCCATTTTTGGGCTTGGCTCTCACTTTACAACATTATTCATAAAAAAATTAATTAATAGTCGTGAATAATCTTTGAGCACCTCATTGTGTCAGTCATTTCCAGTATCAAATAAAGCAGTTGAGCATTTGTTTGTGCTTTTTTCAAAGCAGGAGTGAAGCATCTTTCACGTACATTGCATCTTAACTTTTGATAATGTTCAATAATTGAGGGTATCGAATCCAACGGACAAAAGCACATTCCATGTTCATCTTAATTTAAACCATCCAAATTTATTTTGAATGGTCCAGATTGAATTTAAATTTGTATATATTTTAATTAATTTTTTGTTTTAATAGATACAGAATTCAAAATAAAGATAATCTTATAACTAACAATTGTTTAAAAGACTAAATTTGTCATTAAAAAAAGTGCACATTAAAAATTTTAAATCTAAATCATCTATGTCAGAGTTTGGATAGTTTGAATCGCATTACAGCAATGAGCACATGGTGGCTTATCATTGTGAAGAGCACTGAATAAGGACCTGAATTTAAGGGCATTTGGCGAATGCATTAGATAATTTTATTTCATAATTTGCTTATGAACAACATTTCCCGAAGTTGTGGCTCTGCTTTCACGATTAAATCCCATTATATATATAGCAAGCAGCTTGCACTGGCACTTGTATCCCACCCATGGCGATTCAAGGAGCAAAACCAAGTATAACTATGTAGTCAATAACTTTTATTTATTGGCCTTTAAACAACGTAAGAATTACAATAACACAATGAGAGTTAGCTTACATAATCACATAATATATAACCCTTGAAGGTTATGCATTAATAATAGAAAACTCTCATGAAATAATTGATTTTGCAGATTATGTGATTTTATGCGCAGAACTCTAAAAGCCCTTTCTGTAGAAGTTAAGGATCTCCTGTATATTATTCTTCAACCATAGCGTAGCTACTTATTTTGATTCTTTTACTGGTATTTGCTGTTAAGGATCGATATTAAGTATTTCATGTAAAAATGAAATTAAAAAAGCCACCAATGTGAATGAATATGTAGAAATTCTAAAATGAAATCCATTGAAGCCTATCGTTACATTGATTTTTGCGAATAAATGATAAATCCCATTTTAGAGAGGTGAAACAGAATTATTAAAAGCAGGTAAAAAGAATGAGATAGAGTCGAGTGGAAAAAATAACAGGCCAGCGGATCAGACCCTTCGATATGGTTTCAATAACAGACCAAGGCTCCGACAATCATATATGACAAACAACACTTTGAAGTTTCCATTAGCAGTCAATCAATAATTCTGAAACTTTTGTAATCCAATTGGCACAAGTATGGGATTGTGAGTTTTAACCATTGATTGGAGGGTTTGATGGGGATGATGGAGGTGTAAGTTATAGTTAAAAAAAAAAAAGTCGAAGAAAAACTATTTTAGAGTTATTTTTCCTTAATTTTTTATTTGGTACCTATGCATTTTCCCCCCTCTTAGTTATCCTCTAACTTTGCTCCCACCGTTATCCTGGTAACTTTGATCTCTTAGTACAGTTAGCCCCTAAAGTAAAATTAAAGAATTCAATTAAGAGAGAAAAACATACAGGTATTAAATTAAAAATTATGAGAAAATATATGTATTTGCAAAATAATTTTCCCCTTGTTCTTATTTTCCCCCAACAATTTTCCCTTATTCTAAAACTTTACCTACGTACACTTTATTATTTATGCTTTTGTAAAACTCGAGTGTATTCTAATCCAAAATATATAGTAGTACAAAACATCAAATACTGTGATAAAACAAACTAGGAAAAAAAAAGATCCATCGTCTGCCGCACCATTATAAAAGTTAAAAAAAGGGTCAAACAAAAACAAGGCAACATCCTCTGCGCCATTCAGAGATCATAACAAGTCAACAACCCAATGAAATTGATGGCCCTGAACCTTCCAACGAATTTCCTACCATCTTGAACGATCAAGACCTTAGTTTCAGACCTCAGAACATAGCTTCACCACTGCGATTGTTGCAGCCATATGTATGGCGATTCAAGTGGCTTCACCATCATCCCTTAGCTTCACCAGCAAAACTAAGTATAGATATGATGTTTTCCTGAGTTTCAGAGGTGAAGATACTCGCCACGCCTTCACTGTGCCTCTTTACAATTCTCTACGACGTAAGGGGATCAACGCCTTCATTGATGACAAGAAGCTTGGGAAAGGGGAACGAATCGCACCTGCATTTATCAAAGCCATTGAGAGATCAAGGATTTCCATTATTGTCTTCTCTACAAACTATGCTACTTCCACATGGTGCCTAGAGGAACTCGCCCACATCATCTGGTGCAAGAAACAGAAGAATCAATTGGTTATGCCCATATTTTACAAAGTGGATTTGTTGGATGTTCAATATGAGAGAAATAGCTTTGAAGAAGCCATGGCTGCTCTTGAAGATAGGTATAGAGATGACTTAGGGAAAGTGTGCGAATGGCGTTCTGCTTTGTTCGAAGCTGCTAGTTTATCATCAGCATGGCTTTTCAAGGACGGGTAGGTTTGTTTGCACCATTAGTGCCTTCCGCTGATGAAATTTATTAATTCTTTGTTAGTACTTAATAGTTGCAGACAATATAGCACACAAAGGTCAATCTCTGCATACTTGGCTCTCAAGAGTTTTTATTATGGGTATTTAAAGTTTAATTTTGGACTTTGTTTTATTCTTTGGAATTTACATCTTTCAGCCTGAGTCTTTTGGATTTACTTAAACGGTGTCATTTGAGCAGAAAATATTTCATAGTTTTACAATTGGAACTGAAAGACTTTTAGATAGAGATGGGATTACAAAATTCAGAGACCTTATTGATGTTGGAATTACATGATTATTCACTTCTCTTTCTCTCTACTTTAATTTTCTTTTTTTAAGAATTGAAACAATATTTTATTGATAACTATGTATTAAAAAGAAAAGAAATACAGCAGAAGACATTATGCGCAGATAAATAATCTTCATAGTGAAAAGGAAATATGCTCTTTTGCAGATGTGAATCTGGATTTATTGAAAGGATCGTGGAACATGCATATTCTATGCTGCCACCTAAACGCTTCCATAACGTTGATTACCTCGTTGGACTTGAGCCTCGGATAGAAGAAGTGATCTCACTTATAAATAAATCTGACAAAGGCGTCTGCGTGTTGGGAATTCATGGAACTGGCGGAATTGGCAAAACAACCCTTGCAAAAGCTCTCTATTATTCAATCTTCTATCATTTTGAAGGTTCTTGTTTTTTGTTTGATGTCAGAGAAGTATCAAAGAAGTATCAGGGTGTTGTTCGCCTTCAACAAACGCTTCTATCAGAAATTCTTGAGGAAAAGAAGATGAAGTTTTGCAGTGTTGACTAAGGGAAATCTATAATTAAACATAGACTCTCTAACAAAAAGGTGTTATTGGTTCTTGACGATGTTGATGAGTTTGAACAGTTAGAACAACTTGCAGGCGGCTGTGAGTGGTTTGGTTGTGGAAGCAAAGTCATTATAACAACAAGAAATAAGCAATTGCTAATTGCACGAAATGTTGAGAAAGCATATGAAATGAAGGAGCTAAATCATCTTTACTCTCTTGAACTCTTTTGTCGGCATGCCTTTCGCATGATACAACCTGCAAGTGACTATACACATATGTGCAATCATGTTGTAAGATATGTACATGGCGTTCCTCTAGCCTTGAAATTAGTAGGTTCCAATTTGGCATATAAAACCTTAGAGGAATGGAGATCTATGTTGGAGAAGTATAAAAGAATCCCTGAAAGAACTATCCATGAGGTTCTCAAGATAAGCTATGATTGCTTACAAGATGGTGCTAAGCGTGTTTTCCTAGACATTGCTTGTTTCTTTAAAAGGAAGACATTAGAATTCATTGAAGACGTACTAGAAGCCTGTGATGATGGGGCAAGGTTTTACATCGAAATTCTTGTTGATAAATCCTTGATAACTATTGATGAAGTTAACAATCGCCTGTACATGCATGATCTAATACAACAAATGGCGAAAGAGATTGTTAGACAAGAGGCACCATCAAATCCTGGTCAATGCAGTAGATTATGGTATTATAAAGATGTTCTTAAAGTACTACGTGAAAACTTAGTAAGACTCTTTTCTATTTGCTTGTATTTATATTATAAAATCGTACATGTATATTGTCATATGCATCAAATTTATTTTGCTAATTTGGCAATATCTAACAATGTCACTTCTTCAAACTTGCATTACAGGGAAGCGATAATATTGAAGGAATAATACTTGATCCACCATATCAAGAAGAAGTGGTGTGGGACGGTATAGCTTTTGAGAAGATGAATAATCTCAAGATTCTCATCATTCGAAATACTCTGTTTTTAGCAATTCTGTTTTTAGCAAGTCCTAAATATTTTCCAGATAGTTTAAGATTACTAGATTGGAAAGGATTTCCTTCAACCACTTTACCACCGGAATTTTCACCTTCGAAACTAATCTGCTTGAAGTTATATGGAAGCCTCTCAGATTAGAAAAGCCATTCAAGGTACTCCACCCCCACCCCATTTCGTTATTCTTTGGTCTAATATCTTTAGCTATAATTTTCAGCCGAGAAACAAGGATCAACTATAATTTAAGTTTCTTCTATTTTTTGTAAAAATTCGCACAGATCTCCTTGTATTTTTTATTTATTTTCTCAAATGTTTTTATTTCTCTTATAGGCAAAAGTACATCTCTAGTCCTTTAACTCTACATAATATTTTATTTTGATTCTTTAATTTTATAAATTTTATTTTCTGCCCTCCAACTCTAATACTGTTAATTTTATTAAGGAACAAAAAGGCTGATATTGAGATTTTTAATATTGACTAAACATCTCTAATGTTGACATATTTAGTATACTTCTTTTAAAGGGACAATGATTGACACGAAATATCATCATTTGAGACTAATTATGTTAAGGTTAAAAAACTAAAAAGATACCTTTTAAAATTAAGAGACCAAATTGAAACTTGCATAAAGTTAAAGGACTAAATGTATACTTTTATCTTATATATATTCTTTTAAAACATATATATTTGTCTTTCTACCACAAAAGGCATGTGCATATACGTACATCCATTTCTATAAATGAACATGATTATAAAAGCGATTATATTAATATGGTATTAATTAAGTTTTCGAGAAACTGACAATTGAAGATCTTTTCTAGCCATGAATTTCAATTGCAAACCTCCAATTATTGAAACTTCGACGGAGAATGACGGTCTTTATTTGGAATTAAAAACAACCGTGTTGACAAAATTGCTCTTATGAATTGTATGCATCATTACAAATGAGTTACTTGGAATTCACAACTGAAGCTATGCATTTTCGATGGTCCAAAGTTAACCCCGTTCCTAGGTAGTTTAGTTGGTTTTCACAAGTGGGTTACCTGGTGGATATCACAAGTAATGCTATAAATTAAAATTAAGGGAAAACCATATTAAAGGTACTTATACTTTCTCTCAATTTTTAATTTGGTACCTATGTGTTTTTTTCCCTTTAATTAAACATTTAATTTTATCTTTTTAACAACATTAGCTCTTATAACTTTGTTCTATTGATATTTTTAGTCTCTACATAAGGATTAATGATGTTAATAGAGGAAAAATAAAGATTTAGTTAAGAACAAAAAACACATAGGTACCAAATTGAAAATTGAAAAAAAGTATAGGTACCTCCAATATGGTTTTCCCTAAAATTAATGACTTAACAGGATCTAGTTTTCATTTTCTCTAGCGTTTTATATTAATCTATCGTGATCGGAACATTTTACAGAGAAAATAGAACAATAGGCTTTATCCAAATACTTACAAGATTTTATTTTGCAGAGGTTTGAATACGTGACATATTTGAATTTCTCAAAGTGTGAATTCATTACTGAAGTACCTGATATGTCTGAATTTCAAAATTTGAAAACATTGATCTTCAGTAAGTGTCACAATCTGACCAAAGTTCATGATTCGGTGGGATCTCTCTGTAAGCTCGAAAGGTTAGATGTTAGTGAATGCCGAATACTTACAACCTTTCCACATGAAATCAACATGGCATCTCTTGGACGCCTTTACCTCGATTTTCGCGAGAGTCTTGACTACTTCCCACGCATAGTAGGAAAGATGGAAAAACTAACCATGGTTTCTGCAGTAAGGACTGCTATTAAAGAGCTCCCACCTTCAATTGGAAATCTTCCAGAGCTGTATCATTTAGATTTAAAATCCTGCACAAGTCTTAGGGAGCTTCCAAGTAGCTTATTGACATTGCCAAATCTTGGGCATCTTCACTTGGAAGATATTCATCCTCTAGGTGGAGAATCTTTGAAGAAAGTGATGCTACAGAGCCAACCAGTTATTAGCTGTGAAAACATAGAAAGGTTGAATCTCAGTGGTTGTGGGCTATTGGATGAAGATCTTCACCGTATTCTGAAACGTTTTCAAAACGTGGAAGACTTGGAACTGTCGCAGAATGATTTTGTGTCACTTCCTGAGTGCATTAAAGAGTGTGCTTATTTGGGGACTCTAGATCTGAGTAACTGCAAGAGGCTAAGAGATATACCGGAGCTGCCATCAACGTTGTGGGACATAAGCGCAGAGTACTGCACATCATTAACTGCGGAGTCGATAGGCCGTTTATGGTCTCAGGTATTTCTCATGCTTCTATTTTTTTTTTCCCCTTTTTTCTTTTGCTATGAGTGTGACTGGTAAGATAGTTATTAGTGAACAGTCTCGCAAGTGTTAAATTACCTAAAGTATTCTCTCATTATGTGTGTATATATTCTCTTATTTTTTATTTTCACATCAGTAAATGCCTTTGGTCGCTGATGTTTTGTTAAGCCAGGCAAAAGAGGTGGTCTTTATGGTGGCAATGCTTCTGCCGGCAACAACATTTCCTGACTGGTTAGATTATTGCTGTAAAGGAGGGAAATTGTCTTTTCGTGTTCGCGGAAATTTCCCACGTGTCCTTGTTGCATACGAGATGGGGAAAGTAATAAACACAAGGCGTGTGTACTCAGTGAAAGCTTTTATGAGCGTCGATGGTCGTTATAAAATGCCGTGGATGATATATAATCGTGCTGCAAGGAAAAAGGGCGAAGTTTTATTTACCTTATTTTATCCACATCATGTATTTTTCTTTGATCTGCTACGTCATTTTAGGGAAGAAGAGTTGGAGGGGTTTAATAGGTTTTTGGGATTGGATAAATGGAATGATGTGGACATAGAAATCACACGTCACTCACCAGATGTGTCCATAATTAACTGTGGTATTTATGTCGATAAGCAACAAACGAACATGGAGAATGTACAGTTCAAGTCTTCTGATCTGATTTCCATGAAAACTTCAAGAACTTCACTGAAACGAAGAGCCGTAGCTTCTCATCCTAACGAACCATCCAACAAGCATCTAAGAAGGTTCCAAGAAAAGATTAATAATACGAGAAAGAGGACAAGGTGAGCCCCTACTTCCTCTTATTGACTGTCATTTCGTGGTTTATGATTATTGTTGATGTTCTCGCCTTTCATGTATTATTGTAGGAAAACTAAACCTCACCAGATTTTTCATTCACAGTTGAAGACAAAGATTGTTTTTCCTTTGTCTAAGCATCTTTGCAGAGCTTTGTATTCTTAGGCATCAAAATATTACAATTTGTAGGAAATTGTTAGTTAATAGAAAGGAATTCTGTATGATTGTTTTTTTTTTGGTAAGAGGAATTCTGTATGATTGTTAATTCCGATGTGATGATTAATTTCATTTATCATATATATATATATATATATATAGAAGTGGTTATATAAGTAATATGTTTGCGATGTAAATATTATGGTATATCTTGTGTTCAATTTGTTTAATGACAACTGCTATAGAAGTATCATTATATATCTTCAATTTTTATTTTTTGAGAAGTTATTAAGAATAGAGATATTTTATTTTTAAAAAAAATATACTTAGGTCAAATTTTGTATATCTATTATGTTAAATTCTCCTATCACATTAGTCATGTGTTTCATTTTTTTATGTAAATTTATAATTAACTAATATTTTAAAAATAAAACACATAAAAACATACTTGCATTGAGTTGTTATATTCATTATAAAACAATAACTAAAGTAGTGTGATTGTCATGTCAAATGGGATTCGAATCATTGTAAAACAATTTGCTAATCATGAAAGGGGCCCACAAATAAGAGTGAACGAAAAGAAAGCAACACATATGCTACTGCTACATATAAAACTTTACATTTGGTTACAGTTATTTTAACTTATGCACTGCAATTTAGGGAATGATTGATGTTTAGACCGTCAGCTTTGTTTTGTACAGTTTTATAAAGATTAAAATATTTGACGTCGCAGATTTTTTTCCCCCTTTACCGTAGTTTTTTAAAAACTGTTTCAAAACATCAAAATTGAAGGCGGAGTAGAAATGTATATATCTTTTCAACTTCTTTCGAAAATCATAAAACTTTATGGGTTAAGAATCATTTTTGTTCTAAAAATATTCATGAAGGCTTGGGGGTATTAAAAATTTTTTTTGACTCAATATCCTCTCGGAAGTGTAAAAAAATAGTAATCTCATCCAAATAAAATTTTATATCGTTACCCCATATAAAAATGGCACAGCCAGCTGGCTTTTGCTCTCTTTGTTTTTTTTGAGATTTAATGATGATGTTTTATAAATTTTTTTATAAAGGGTATGGCTTTTTCTTTCGAATTGACCTAACTATGAGATGCAATAAAGCATTGGATGTGGAAGAATGCGATGCCTTTGCTTCTGTATTGTACATTCCGTCTTTTCATTTCTCCCAGCTATTATATAACTGAGAGATCTGTTGGCCAAAAAAAGAACAGAGAGAGATCTGTTTCTCCTATTTTTAGTGGCTTGCTTCACGTCTAGCTATAATTTGCACGTATCATTGGTAAATATGTCTAGCTCTGAGTAGATTTAAATTGACATGAAAGATGTCATATCATCAAATAAAGTCGGGATTATTGATAGATATATAATAGAGTTAAATGACTTATAAGCATAAGTTATGAGTTAATATAAATTTTAGTCTTTTAAATTTGTTTTAATTTTAGTTTTAGTCTCTCAAATTTTAAATTATAAGTTTTAATCTCTTAATTTTTTTTATTTAAAACATTAATCTTTATAATTTAATGAAAATTTGGATCGTTTTACCGTCTGAGGGACCAAAACATTTATTTTCTACGAGAACAAAGATGAGGTTCGATGTTCACTTTAATTTAATTTGGACCATTCAAATAATTGACTTTGGATGGTATAAATTTAATTTAAAAATTTTTGTGTTTTAAATAATTTTTTATTTTAATATATACAAAATTTAAAATAAAGATAATCTTAAAATTAACTCTTTCTTTAAAAATAAATTTATTAATGAGAAAATTATAAATTAAAATTTTTTGGGTGCAAATTTAGAATGTCTCCAAATCACTTTAAAACGGGTAAGTGAAAAAAAAACAGAGAGAGAAAAAATAAACAAAATGAGAAAAACATATAATGAATTAAGAGTGCATGAGTAGATAATTTCAAATTATAGCGCATAAAAAATTAAATCCTTTTAAAAATTTGATGCTTATATTTTGAAGTGAATGAGTATTATTTAATTAATTTAACACAAAGGCTGATTGAAAAATGAATGAGAGAGATAGCACGAGAGGGAGAGAATAAGTTGCCGAGTTTGTTTTGCTTACAAATCATGTGGGCCCAGCTATCATTCATCCTCCCTTCCACCAATTAAAGCCACGCAAACAGAAAGCAGTGAAAGAAATCGTTCAGGCGGAGCATTTTTTAAAGCGTAGCATTTAAGTATTCTCGTTTACTGTTTATAGTATCTAGGTCAAAAAGCCTCCCCTAAGGATATCAAATAAAGCGATAAGGCATTTGTTTGTGTTTTTGCAAACCAGGAGTGAAGCATCTTTAACGTACGGTGCATCTTATTAACTTTGACAAGTTCAATAATTGACAGTACCGGATCCAAAAGACACGCACGCAACGCGCAAACCAAAATTATTTGTTGAAAGATTATGAAAGTAATGTATTAATAATTTTTACTTCCCATTTGGTATGGAAAAAGGGACTTCTCTCCTTCTTCTGGTAATATTTATTATTATGGCAATCATCATTTAAAAACACTGCGCTTAATTTTATGAATATGGCAAATATTTCTCTTATTCTTTAAAAGCACGCGCCTCTTTCCACTAGAAAAAGCAAATATTTATACGTTTATTGCTTTGTAAGATATATAATTATAAAATTCATTACGATGAGATTTTGTTAATTTTTTTATAATAACTTATGGTCGTCAACATATTTCCACATACAAAATGTAATAGGGAAAACAAATTTCAAATACACAAGGTAAAACTAATTCATTTATCGTCTTAGGTTTTTCTCCTGCCACAGGCATTCAAGAAAGCTCCACAAAAAGAATGAAAAACACAATTAGCTATAACTTATATTATTCATAAAAAATTTTCGATTGTGTTTATTCTTTAGCCCCTCAAATCTCAATGGTGACGGTCCTATGGGAATTTTTTAAATTTTATTTTAAAAAAAATTAAAATGAATCTCTTATTGAAAAATTAATTGGCAAATAGAATCTAAGGACTGTGTGCCAATTAATTTTTGTTGTGTGCAACTTAACTTTCTTTGTATAGAACTTATCTTTTCTTGTGTGTAATAATTTTTGTGTGTGCAATGTGCAACTCAATTTCCATGTGTACAAATGAAATTCTTTTATGTGTAAATCATCTTCCCTATGTACAAACTAATCCGCTATATCCAAATAATATTTTGTGCAAACTATTTTATCTTTGTGTAACTTATCTTCTTTTACGTGGAACTAATCTTCCCTCGTGTAATGAATCATCTTAGGGGCTATTTGCCAATTAATTTGTAACGAGGGATTTATCTCAGTTTTTCCTTGATTTTATGGCTAGAATGGTCCTATCGATCAATTTCAAATAAAGCACTAAGGCATCTTTCTTTCTTTTTCTTTTTTGGGTTGGAAAGCATTAAGGCATCTTTACGTACAAAGAAACCAGAGTGGGGCATCTTCTACAGTATTATTTTCAAACGTTTTCAACATTGACGCCGGCCAACACTGGATTCCTAAAAAGACAACATTAAACTGGAACTAATTTGCTTACATTTCCCTAAGTTCTTCTGCGCTTACTCAAGATTAAATTGGACATAGCAGGCAGCTTAATTATGGCGACTCAAGTTGAAACAACATCATCCTTTGGCTCCAATAACAAAACCAAGTATAGATATGATGTTTTTCTGAGTTTTAGAGGTGAAGATACTCGCCGCACCTTCACTGTGCCTTTCTACAATGCTTTGCGATGTAAGGGAATCAATGCCTTCATTGACGACAGGAAACTTGGCAAAGGGGAAGAGATCTCACCTACGCTTCTTAGAGCCATTGAGAGATCGAGAATTTCCTTCATTGTGTTCTCTAGGAACTATGCTACTTCCACATGGTGCCTAGAGGAACTCGCCCATATCATTTGGTGTCAGAAGCAGAAGAACCAGCTGGTTATGCCCATCTTTTACAAGGTGGATCCGTTGGATGTTCAGTATCAGAAAAATAGCTTTCAGGAAGCCATGGCTGCTCTTGAAGATAGGTTCAGAGATGACTTGGAGAAAGTGCGCAAATGGAGATCTGCTTTGTTTGAAGCTGCTAGCTTATCACCAGCATGGCTTTTCGAAGAAGATGGGTATGTTTTCTTGTATTATTTTCTTAGTGGTTAGCACGCTATTGAAGATGTTTGAAATTTTGACTTGTGACTATCGCTTTTGCAGTCCAATGAAAGGTGCAAGAAATTAAACATGTAGTTTTCACAGTATTGTTCTTATGAGGATTATTATAAAGTTTTAACTTTTGATTCTTAAAATAAATGCTGAATTTAAATTTAATAAATAAACGTTTAATCTAATGTTTACTCTAAATTTACTCCAATTTTTACCAATAAAATAAAACATAATAACAATACGTTGACAGTTACGCATACCCTTTTTCTTTAATAAGTTTTTGAACCCAGTTTTCACTTTTAATACTACTTTAGAGTAAAATACTATCATGGATATTCATATAAGATTACAATATAAATTTGCGATCTTAATAAATTAGACATATTCTTTTTATAGTTTGTAACAAGTACAGCTTCGTAACAATAATTATTAAGGTATTTTTGTTTTTGCATGATTACTTTTGGTTACTTAAATGATGTGAAGTGCACATTTGTTCCTCTAGTTTTATACAATGTTTTAGCTTAGTTTCTTCATTGTAGAAGTATTTTTTCATTCTCTTAAAACTCCACATGTTTTTATAACAATTATTGTTATTTTAAAAATTAAACTTAATATGCCACATTTGACAATAGTTTGTCAATATTTCAAATTGAAATTTCAATGTCATTATTTTTTGGTTTACAGTGTCAGGATAAAATGATTGAAGATATACTTATATAAAATTAAGGGATCAAAGTGAAACCGCTAAAAATAAACTTCAAATATGCACCTTGTATATAAAGGATTCAAATAAATCCTAGACACATACAGTGAAAGTATTAAAATCTTGGAGAGCCAATTAATATTGATAATCTCTTCAAAGAATCCAAACATAACTGTATTGAAAAAAAATATGATAATAGAGTACAAATATATAAAACAGAACATGTTACGAAAATCATCTTCATAGTAAAAATTTTCGCTTTTGTAGATACGACGAAGGTGGATTTATTGAAGGTATTGCTGAAGATGCATACGCTAGGCTACCTCCTAAACGCTTCCATGACGTTGATTACATCGTTGGACTTGAGCCTTGTATAGAAGAAGTCATGTCACTTTTGGATGAGTCTGATAATAGTGTTTCTATGTTGGGGATTCATGGAGCTGGTGGAATTGGCAAAACAACCCTTGCAAAAGCCATCTATAACTCAATCTTCTTCTATTTTGAAGGTGCTTGTTTTTTATTTGATGTCAGAGAAGCGTCAAAGAAATATCAGGGTGTTGTCCGCCTTCAACAAACACTTCTATCAGAAGTTCTTGAGGAAAAGAAGATGAAGTTTGGTAGTGTTGATGAAGGAATATCAAAAATAAAGCATAGACTCTCTCACAAAAAGATTTTGTTGATTCTTGATGACGTTGAAGAAGTTGAACAGTTAGAACAACTTGCAGGAGGGGCTGATTGGTTTGTTTGTGGAAGCAAGATCATCATAACAACAAGAAACAAGCAATTGCTAGTTGCACACGATCTTAAAAAAACATATGAAATGAAAGAGCTGAATGAGCATGACTCTCTTAAACTGTTTTGTTGGCATGCCTTTCGAATGAGCCACCCTCCAAAAAGCTACAAAAGTATGTCAATTGGTGTTACAGATTATGTACGTGGCCTTCCTTTGGCCTTAAAATTGATAGGCTCCAATTTGAGACGTAGAAAATTAGCGGAATGGAGATATACACTACAACAATATAACCAAATCACTGGAAGAACAATACATGAGATATTGAAAATAAGCTGTGATTGCTTACAAGAGGGTGCTAAGCGTATTTTTCTGGACATTGCTTTTTTCTTTAAAGAGGAGAATTTGGAATATGTTGAAGACATACTAGGAGCTTGTAATTACGGGCCAAGGTTTTATATTGAAGTTCTTGTTGATAAATCTCTAATAAGTGTTGCTGATAATGGTCGCTTGCACATGCATGATCTAATACAACAAATGGCTAGAGAGATTGTTAAGCAAGAGGCACCCTCCAATCTTTTTGGTGCATCCAGCACCAAGACAAAAAAAAAAAAAAAAAAAGGCTTCATGATAATGGATGCACACAGAATACGTCAAAGTGCTGAATGCAGCTAATATAATACTTCAGCCACTGAATACACTTTAACTTTATGTTTAAGTGGACTTGAATTAATATCGAAGCACACCCATAAATTTGAAGCAGTTAAGCATTTTGTTTTCTTTTTTTTAAAAAAAAAAACCAGGAGTGGAGCATCTTTTGCGTGCAATAGTTCAACTCAACCAGCATCCTTGCTGTTGAATTACATGTATGTGAAAAACTTGTAAATTAAATATAGATATGTTTGAGTGTTTAATCTTACTCTTAATTCATAATTATTTTAACCAATTTTTTGTTTGTTTTCAAAATTATTTTTTGTACATTGATTTTAAATAATTCAAAATAATTCAACAATTGAAAATATGTAACATGATATTGACGTCTTTCCCAAAATTGATGGGAGAAGGACAATAAAAAAACCAATTAATGAGAGCTTTTTGAAAGGAGAGGTTTTTTCCTTTGAAATCTCCACATTTCACAAGAGAAACAGTTGAAGAGAAAAATATGTGACTCGCGCGTATTATTTTCTCTCCAATTTTCTTTCCCTCTCACTTTTTTCTACTTATCCAGGGAGGGGAAGATATAATTTTCCCTCATGCTAGCTCAAGCACATTGGCAATGCAATTTCAGATTATACGTAGCCTTTCAAGCAATTACCTCTTCACAGGTACTTCAAAAATATTCTCTTCTCCGTCTTCATACGTTGATCATTGTTTCGCTTCCAAAATTTGGAAAAGCATTGTAATAATTGGAATATGATTCTCTAGCTGACTGGATTGACGTAACTGAGACATGCAAAAGGAATAATATATGCATCGATTTAATTTTGTCCCATCCTCCACACTGATGTGGGAAAATTAAAATTAAATATTCCATCCCATCATCGTTATAAAACATTTTAAACATCACACCGAAATTTAAAAAAAAAAAGAAGTAGTTAAATTATTAATTTTGTTTGACAATGACTAAAAATTTCACATTTATCCTTATTTAAAATTAGAAATCATGTATTGAGAAGCTATAGAAAATTTGAATTGAATATTAAATAGGGAAATTTTTTGTATGCAAAAATAGGGATAAAATGTAAATAATATTTTACAAGATGATTAATAATACTAGGAGTCATCTATTCGTTTCAAAGTGTGCCTTATAACAAAGAATCGAAAGTGTGTTTTATTATAGGGATTACATGTTAGTAAAGTATACAAATTTTATAACAAATTTTACCGAATATAAATTAAAAACTACTTCACGAACTATAAATAATAGGGAAACTTATTTTACATGTACCCAAACTTTTTTTTAATCAAGTTAAAGATTTAATTAAAAAAACCATATAAGTGCCAAATTAAAAATTGAGAAAAAGTATGTGTATTCTCAAGATAGTTTTCCCTAAATAATATGGCTGATTTATTTTTCAATTTTTTTATGCTACACAAAACATATTTTATATGGATAAAATTACTTTAAGAGATACTCATACTGTTTTAATATCGATCTTGCCTCTTGCTTTTATTATTCGTAAAGAATTTAATTAATGGTAATTATCTTGGAGCTGCTCATCGTGCTGTCGTTTCTTTTTGCCTCTTTTTTCAAGACACAGGTATCCTCTTATCGAATGTAACTTTATTTAAGATATTATCAGGCACTAAATATAGGTACTTATCCCAATAAGAATTCAAACTTTAGTTTACCATGTTACCAGGGATTAGATTTTTTTGCTAGACCTGATCCCATTGATAGGTCCTTGCGACATAACCAAATAAAGCAATGTGGCTTTTTCCTTGTGTTTTCAGGAAAAACAAAAAAAGAAAAAAACACCTGCGGTAAAGCATATTTTATGTTCTACGAATTTCACTTTGATATGTTCAATAATTGAAAGTATCGGTTCCAAAAAGACAAATAACCTGGGAATAGACGCAAAAACTAAAATTAATTAGAAAAAAATATAATTAGGTCTCAAAATATCAATTTAAGCTATATGTAAGTTTCAATTTGCAATTGAAATTTTAGCAACAAATTTTTTAAAAATTATTTATAAACATATTTTATTAAAAAAATTGAGCAACATTATGTATTTTTAAACGTTATCTTAATTTATACTACCTTTGGTCTTTAATATAAAAGCTAATTTAACTTTTTATTGGGTACTAAATATAAGATCCCAATTCATTTTGTCTCTCATATTTATCTATTTTTTTAAGGTAGTTCTTGTAGTATTTGTATATATTAAATATTTAATCAAATAACACTTTATTAATAAGGATATTTTAGGAAAGATAACACCTATTTATTGCAAATAACTAACTTAACTAATTTCGTTAATCTATCCAAATTAGTTAATTAGCTCTTATATTAAGAACAAGATATAGTAGTATGTATTATTATAAAAGCTAAAGGGAAAAAAATGAGCAACATGATGATAAGAGCAAAAAAAGAGATCTAAAAAAAGACGGTGGGGTCTCATTCATATACAAGTATATAAAATATATATATAGTCTTTTATAACCTTTCAAACAAATTGAGTTTGACAATAAGATGAAGAAAATTAACTTACATATTTTCATAATACATATAATAAAAGACTCCCAAGAAAAAGTCGATTTTAGAGACTGTGATTTCGTGGGTAAAATTCTAAATATCCTTTTATATATGGAAATCCACGTCATAATGATACCTATAGCAGTATGAAGCTGTTAAGCAGTTAATATTGTTCCGGTAAGAAAAAGAAAAAGAAAAGGCAGTTAATAGTGCTGGCTTATTATTTTCTTTCCATCTTTATTTTTTTTTTGGATTACTCCATCCGGTACCCACATCTTTATTTTTTCCTTTGTGGTTCAAACTTATTCATTTCTTTTCAATATATTCTCACAAAATTATGATAAATTCATCAAGTCAATCTATCATCCGCTGCTTTTGATCTCATGAATTATTCTTCAGATATTTATATGGACCTATATTGCATAATACCATAGCGTAGCTATTTATCTTCACTGTTTAAGTTTAATAATACAAGAACACCATTAATCAAGATGCCAGGGAGAGCTGTGGGTCCATTTATTTCGCAGTGATCACTAGAGCTTGCGGGACCAGATCTTCGTAAAACAAAACTTGATAAACAATGAAAATGAAAAATGAGAATTAAATATTGAATTTGAATTTTTGTTTTAATATTGTCCGACCAATCCATTTTCACGATTAACGGGTGAGATAATTATTGAATTTTTGTTTAGAAAATTATTTATGATAAATATTACAAGCACTTATTGTAACACACACATAATATATTTCTTTTTTTCCAGGAATACGGCCTCACACACTATGCAACTTGGTCCGCCGCGGATTACTGAGTCCTCAAGATGAATGAAAATAAAACAAAAACAAACTGGAAGAAGACCGGAAAAAAAGTATCCATCATCTGCACCATCATTATTTTTTTGGGTCAACAGTTGCTTCAAGAAATACAAAAGTCAAACAAAAACAAGGTACCAACGTCTTCCCATTTGGATCCATTTAATAAATATATATATTTATATGAAAGCACAATCCACGTTAACTATGTAAGTTTCTCTCTCGTTTGAGTTTTCAAATCTCAACACCTAACTTCAAGTCTGCGATTATTGCAGCCATGGCGATTCAAGTGGCTTCACCATCATCCCATAGCTTCACCAGCGAAGCTAAGTATCGATATGATGTTTTCCTGAGTTTCAGAGGTGAAGATACTCGCCACATCTTCACTGTACCTCTCTACGATGCTTTGCACCGTAAGGGAATCAACGCCTTCATTGATGACAAGAAGCTTGGGAAAGGGGAAAAGATCTCACCTTCGCTTCTTAAGGCCATTGAGAGATCCAGGATTTCCATTATTGTGTTCTCTAAGAACTATGCTACTTCCACTTGGTGCCTGGAGGAACTTGCTCACATCGTTTGGTGTAAGGAGGAAAAGAACCAGCTGGTTATGCCCATCTTTTACAAGGTAGATCCGATGGATGTTCAGTATCAGAGAAACAGCTTTGAGGAAGCCATGGCTGTTCTTGGAGAAAGATTCAGAGATGACACGGAGAAAGTTAGAAAATGGAGATCTGCTTTGTTTGAAGCTGCTAGCTTGTCATCAGCATGGCTTTTGAAAGATGGGTTTGTTTTCTTATACTTTTTTCTGAAAGCCATCTACTGAGCAAATTTTGAAACAATTAATTAGTGGTTGGGGGTCTGGGGAGGGATAGATGTACATAGTCTTACCCTCACAAGGGGAGAGGTTATTTTCAGGATTTAAACCCTTGACTTTCAAGTCACATGATAGCAATCTTACTGTTGCTTAAAGGCTCACTCTCTTAGCACGCTATTGAAAACGTTTGAAATTTTGATATGTGGCTTTTGCTTTTGCAGTTCAAAGGTTCTATGATAATTATGAATTGTGTTTAATATTCAAAATTTTTATTTTCAATTTAGAAGTTTAAATAGTTCTATAATTTGGCTTTTTTGTTTTTGCATTATTACTCTTAGATTTACTTAAATGATATAATTCAAATAAAAAATACTTATAATATAAAAAAAAATTAGACATATAGAGTGAAGGGATTAAAATCATAGAGAGCTAAAAGATCATAGAAATATAAACAGAATAATATGTGGGATAATTATCTTCATAGTAAACAAATTAACTTTTCCTTTTGTAGATACCAAGATGGATTTATTGAAAGTATCGTTGAAGATGCATATGCTAGGCTACCTCCTAAGCGCTACCATAACGTTGATTACATCGTCGGACTTGAGCCTTGTATAGAAGAAGTGATGTCACTTTTGGATGAAAGTGATGAAAATAGAGTTTGTATGTTGGGAATTTATGGAATTGGTGGGATTGGCAAAACAACCCTAGCAAAAGCTGTCTATAATTCAGTCTTCTACAATTTTGAAGGTGCTTGTTTTTTGTTTGATGTTCGAGAAATATCAAAGAAATATCAAGGTGTTGTTAGCCTTCAACGAACACTACTATCAGAAATTCTAGATGAAAACAAGATTAAGTTTTGTAGTGTTGACGAAGGAATATCAAAAATAAAACATAGGCTCTCTCGCAAAAAGATTCTATTGGTTCTTGATGACGTTGAAGAAGTTGAACAGTTAGAACAACTTGCAGGAGGATGTGATTGGTTTGGTGGTGGAAGCAAGATCATTATAACAACAAGAAACAAGCAATTACTAATTGCATGCAATATTACAAAGACATATGAAATGAAGGAGTTAAATGAGCGTTACTCTCTTGAGCTTTTTTGTTGTCATGCATTTCGAAAGAGCCAACCTCCAAAAGTATACAAAAGTATGTCCATTGGTATTACACATTATGTACGTGGCCTTCCTTTGGCTTTAAAGTTGATAGGCTCCAATTTGGCACACAAAGACTTAGAGGAATGGAGATATACATTGACACAATATTATAAAATCTCAAGAACAACAATATATGAGATATTGAAAGTAAGCTATGATTGCTTACAAGATGATGCTAAGCGTGTTTTCTTGGACATTGCTTGTTTCTTTAAAACGGAGACATTGGAATTGGTTGAAGAAATACTAGGAGCTTGTTACTATGGGACAAGGTTTTATATTGAGGTTCTTGTTGATAAATCTTTGATAACTATTGCTGATAATGGTCTCTTGCTGATGCATGATCTAATACAACAAATGGGTAAAAAGATTGTTGAGCAAGAGGCACCCTCAAATCCTGGTAGACGTAGCAGGTTATGGTATTACAAAGATGTTCTTAATGTGCTGCGTAAAGATTTAGTAAGCATTGAAAATTTATCCATTTCCTTATATACAATAAACTGTGCAAATTTGGCAAATATCTAACTATATTACTTTTTGGAACTTGTAGGGAGAAAATGATATTGAAGGAATAATACTTGATCCACCTGAACAAGAAGAAGTGAAGTGGAATGGTTTAGCCTTTGAGAAGATGGATAATCTTCGTATTCTCATTGTTCGAAATACCCAATTCTTAACAAGTCCCAAGTATCTTCCCAATAGTTTGATATTGCTTGATTGGGAGGGATATCCTTCTATGACTTTACCGCCGGATTTTTCTCCTCCAAAACTAGTTTGCTTCAAGTTATGTAGAAGTCTTTTCAGATTTGAAGCGCCATTCCAGGTACTTTATTCACTCTTTTTTCGATGATCAAATTTCTTGAGCCATAATGTTCTTCTAAGAATTCGAGAATAAATTACTTTTAACTCTCATTGAATTTTTTATTATCTTCTATAGAATCATCAACTATTTCACGATCCAAAGGAGATTTGTTAAAGATTCAGTACGAATAAGATTAGACAAATCAAAGGGAGGCTAGAATATTCTGTTCAAAAGATAATATATTTCTTGACAACTGTTATTAATTAAATAATGTTGGTTTTCTTTTGCAGAAGTTTGAATATGTGACACATATGAATTTCTCGCGGTGTGAATTTATAACAGAAGTACCTGATATGTCTCATTTTCAAAACTTAAAAACATTAAGCTTTCGCGAATGTCGCAATTTGATCAAAGTTCATGATTCAGTGGGATTTCTTTGCAAGCTAATCAAATTAGACGTTGGTAAATGTACCCAACTTAAAAGCTTTCCAAGTGAAATCAACATGCCATCTCTTGAGATGCTCGTTCTTACTGATTGCAAGAGTCTTGACTACTTCCCAAATATAGTTGGAAATACGGATGCACTTGGAAGTATTTTTGCAGATGGTAGCGCTATGAAAGAGCTTCCAAATAGCTTATTCACGCTACAAAATCTTAGCTTACTTATGCTGGGAGGCCTTCGATCTCATGGTAGAAAATCTTTGAAGAAACTACTGCAAGAGAGCCAACCATTTGTCAGTTGCACTAACCTAGAGTGCTTGGATCTCGGAAACTGCGGCCTATTGGATGAAGATGTTTACCATACTCTGAAATGTTTTCAGAATCTGCAAGACTTGGATCTATCAGGAAATCATTTTGCATCACTTCCTGAGTGCATTAAAGAGTGCGATGATCTAATGATGCTTGAAATAAATAATTGTAAGAGACTAAGAGACATACCAGAGTTGCCATCGGGGTTGCGCCACATAAAGGCAGAGAATTGCACAGCATTAACAACCGAGTCAATAAGCCGTTTATGGTTTCAGGTTTTTCTGATTTTCCTTTATTTTGATAATATTCATTTGTCATGTTGGATTTTAAAGCTTTTGCAGGTATGAACGACTAGAAATCATGTCATAATTAGAGCTTCTTATTAGTGTGGGTTAATAATATTTCGGCATCCAACACCCTAATATTATTTTCAAGTTGCATTTAACACCTAACTCATATTTATGATGCATCTAGCACCTTGATGTTATTATTTTTTTTTTTTTGTGTGTTTCCAGCACACTAATCCCTGTTTTTTTTGGGTGCATCTAACACCCTAATTCATAAATAAAATTAGGATATCGGATGCAACTAGAAAATAACATCAAACGTGTAGGATGCACCACAAAAACAACATTAGGGTGCCAAATGTTACTTTATCCCTTGATTTTTTTTTTTGCCGGATACCCCTTGTTATGTCTTATCTATGAATAACATAAATTTCAAGCATTATTTTATATGATATTCTCGAATCTGAAAAAGCCTGTCCTGTTTGGTATTTCGATAAATCAGGCAAAAACCTTCTTTACTATGCCAGCAACAACATTTCCTGATTGGTTCGACTATTGCTGTGAAGGAGACACATTGTCTCTTGGTGTTCGTGGGAAAAATTTCCCTGCTCTTGTCATTGCAATTGAATCGGGCAAAGCTAAGGCAAAAAGGAGTCGTCTCACCTTCCAAGTTTTTATCAGAATTAATGACCGTAAAATGTCATGGACAAATCACGATGTTCCTTATGCTCTTGGTCAAAGTAGAGAATGTGATGCGTTGGTTTTCTTTGGTAAGCAAGGTCAAGTGATTTCATTTGATTTACTCCAGAATTATTTTGATGAAGAAGAGTTGGAGGAGCTTAGTAAGTTTCTAGAATTGGGTTGGAATTATGTGGATATACAAGTGATGTGTGACTCGCCAAATATCTCCATAATTAAGAGTGGAGTTTATGTTGATAAGCAGCAAACAAGCATGGAGAATATTCGTTTTGTGTCTCCCAGGGCTTTCATGAATAATGCTTCAAGAACTTCACTGAAACGAAAAGTCATAAGTTCCCCTCTTAATGAACCAGCGAAGAAGCTCTTGAGACATTTTAAGGCTACAGATAAAGGAAAACTCGATAACACCAAGAAAGGGACCAAGTGAGCCTCTATTTTCTTCTGCAAGTTGTCGTTTATTTATTTCGAGGTTTTGGCTTATTATTAATTTTGTCTGCCTTGTATGTATCGTAGGAGAAGAAAACGACACCAAGTTTTTCGTTCGTGGTACAAGACGCTCTATCCAAGGGGCAAGCATTTTTGGAGATTTCTTTACTATTAGCTCTCTATAATTTTTGTAAATACTCTTTCTTGAATTTCTAAAACTTCAGCTTCCCTCTGCACGCCTCTTCTCTTCCTAGACATTCTGAGATAGGGTGACTCTTCACCAGACAGAGCTCGTCACATAGGTTGGTTCTTCCACCTGCAAGTGTGTTTTTTGGGAATGGGTTAAGATGCAATTTTAATCTTGATCTTCGGAGTAAGATTGTACAACAAAAAAAGAGGAAATCACAAATAAAGACCCTCGAATTAGCAAAATCACTCTATGGTCACCTGAATAAGTCAAATTACCATGAGGGACCCGGTCTCAAATTGCAATTAGCAAATCACACCTAAAAGACTAAAATACCCTTCAATTACTCAGATTCAATAACGAAGGCAGACATTAGTGAGAGACCTCTTCTTTCCTTCTCCTCGGACTTCCTCTCCCTCTCTTCTTCTTTCTCTTTCTTCCTTGGGTCGAAGCAGCATCTGCGTTGGGTCTCCTCCATGGCGAATGGTCTCATGAGGGGCAAAGAGGGCTTTCGAACTCCTTGCGTAGGATATCAGCAGGGAGAAGAGAGGAAGGTGGTCGGTGACGGAGGAATGGAAGATTTGGGACGATTTTCTGCAATTCTGAAACAAGGAGTGATTACGAACTTTTTGTTGAACAATGGCGATCAACCTTATGGATCGTTTTCTCTGTTAGCAAAGAAGAAGAAGGCTGAGTTCTTTAAGCTGTTGATAGAAGCTACAGGGTTCGCTGGTTTGAATATTTTAAAGATTTTGAAGATGATCTAGTTGAATACTGTCTTCTTTTTGTTTACTTGTATCAGGGAATCGATAATCTTCTCATTTGATTTAGAGTTGCTGGTTGCTGTCAAAACACCTCTGGTTTTTTGTTATTTGACTTACTATTGTTGTAATTTTACTTAGTAGTGTTGTAACTACAGATTGGTTAGTTTGATCACAATAACATGGCGTGACAATCTAAAAATGTCGGTATTTTGTTTATGGGCAGAGCAATGTTAACATTTAGTATTTATAGTTGTAAATGGTATCAATGTAGATCCATTTAATGTTCTGAAATTCATGACAGACCTCCTCATTGACTTATAATTTCACTTACCACAGTTATTATTTGGCTTTCTACTCTTGTCAATTAATTTTCATAACTTGTCATTCGTCTTACTCAACTTGTCATAAATTACATATCAGAACTTGTCACTGCTAAAGAAATCTGAAAATGTTGTCATTGGAAAAGAGAAAATTAATTTTTATGAATTGCTTATCAGAAGTTGTCATTCGTCTTACTATACTTGTCATTCGTCTTACTCAACTTGTCACTCGCCAAAGAAATCTGGAAGTAAACGTGTTGAAGGGAATGTAACGATCACCATTGTTGTGATGATAGAAATGCAGTAACAGAAACAGAATTTGTTACATTACATCCACATTGGCGGACATTTTGAAGCAAGTGATGAAGGAGAAGTTAAATATATTGGAGGGAATGTAATAATCACTATTGTTGTAATTTTGCATGCTAGTGTTGTTAATGCAGACTTTTAACTATTATGACAACAATGCAATGATAGAAACATATGACAATCTGATAATTAGAGTCTTTTTATATTGTACAGAGGAATGTTAACATTTTTTGTTAATCATTTCTATATTGTAACAATATAGAGCTATTTAATGTTGTCCACTTAATTAGAAACGTGGTGACAGAAATACAACGACAAAAACACAAAAATTCTATCATTTGCCTTATTGAACTTGTCATCTACTAAAAAAATCTAAAAATTCTATCATTTGAACAAAAAAATTAAATTTGTATAAAATGCTTATTAGAAGTTGTCATTTACCTTACTAAAATTGTTATTTGCCTAACTAAACTTGTCATAAATTGCTTATCAGAACTTGTCATCTGCTAAATAAATCTAGAAATTGTCACTTGAAAAGAGAAAATTAAATTCATATGAAATGCTTATCAGAAGTTGTCATTCGTCTTATTAAACTTGTCATTTGCAAAGGAATTGTACAAATTGTCATTTTAACGTAGAATCTTAAATTCCTATGAGTTGCTTATCAGAAGTTGTCATATACCTTACTAAACATCCTTGGCAAATGACAAGTTCAGTAAGACGAATGACAAATTTAGTAAGAAAAATGACAACTTATGATAAGCAATTCATAAAAATTTAATTTTCTCTTTTCAAATGACAGAATTTTCATATTTCTTTAGCAGATAACAAGTTCTGATATGTAATTTATGACAAGTTAAGTAAGGCGGATGACAAGTTGTGAAAATCAATTGACAAGAGTGGAAAGCCAAATAACAACTGTGGTAAGTGAAATTATAAGTTAGTGAGGAGGTTTGTCATGAATTTCAGAACATTAAATGGATCTATATTAATACCATTTACAACTATAAATACTAAATGTTAATATTGCTCTGCCCATAAACAAAATACCAACATTTTTAGATTGTCATGCCATGTTATTGTGATCAAACTAACCAATCTGTGGTTACAACACTACTAAGTAAAATTACAACAATAGTAAGTCAAATAACAAAAAACCAGAGGTGTTTTGACAGCAACCAGCAACTCTAATCAAATGAGGAAATTATCGATTCCCTGACGTACAAGTAAACAAAAAGAAGACAGTATTCTTGACAATCGAACAACACTATATCAAAAACATCTCTGGAAATGAAAGTCGAAAGTCATCAACTAGCATTAATGATGGGTCACCATTTTTTTTGTAATAAAGATTGGTGGGAATGGCTACAACCTTAATCATATTGATGAATGCATAGGTAGGAGATGAATGTTTTTGAGAGGGAGAGGAATAGAAGGAAGAAGAGAGGGAGGGAGATGAAGAGGGAGAGAATGACGAAGACAGAGGGAAAGAAAAGAAGGAAAGAGAAAGAGATGGGGTGATGGAAGAAAGAGAATAAGGGCACTTTTGTCTTTTTAGCCTGATTTCATAATTACAATTTGAGACCAGGTCCCTCATGGTAATTTGGCATATTCAGGTGACTATAGAGTGATTTTGCTAATTCGAGGGTCTTTATTTGTGATTTCCCCAAAAAAAAAAGAGTCAAAATTGCATCATTGAAAAGATTAGAGGCATAATTGCACTTTAATTCTTTGGAAATCGAATGTCAGCCAATTACTCCTTCCCCCAACACTTGTTGGTGTTTAACGCTCCTTTATTTATTATTTGGTACTCCCTCCGTTCCTTATTATAAGAGACGAATAACCGACTTACATTGATAAAAAAAACAGTTAAAATTAGTTAAGAACAATCAATATATAAAAAGTATAATTTCTTCCCAAAAATTCATTAATAAGGAGAGAGAGCATGAGAGAGAGCAATTAAATTATTAAAAGAAAGAGAAGTGGAAGGGAGAGAGAGTGTGAGTTGGAGACAATAAATATGGATAAAATAGAAAATCAACACAAAAAAGTAGAGACAACTTTTAAGTATCTCTTATATATAGGAACATGCCATAAGCATCAAATGTCTCTTATAATAAGGAACGGAGGGAGTAGTAAATATAAGTCATTTGAAGGGACAATTTTTTAATTTTATTCTTAATTTTTGTTGGAATAAGAGAAAAGAATAAATGTGAGAATACTTTGTAAATATAAAGAGAAATTTTTTTAATAAGAATAAATTTAAAATATTTTATCAATTTAAGACATATTTAATAACTTAGTTCTCATTTCTTAGCAGTAAAATGAGCGTGAACCGGGGTTGTCATGCCCAAAACTAATTTTCCTTGCCTTTCATTCTAAAATCAAGTTTCCTTCGCTACCTGCAAAAATAATTTTTTAGAGAAAATAGTATCCAATCATGAATATTCCTCCAATCACATAATGCTTGCTTAATTAACAAAGGTAACTAAATTAATCAATTCTAACAAAATTGACATGATTTATTTGAAATATTTTTATACTATAGCATAAGATTATACTACTTCCGCTTATTAATATAAAAGCTAATTGAAAGATTGTATTTAATTTTAAATATAAGATCTTAATTCATTTTGTCTTCTAAAATTTATAACTTTTTCTCTAAAATATTCTTATTGTATTGATTGTAAAGGTTTTCCATTAAAGATAGAAAATAGCATAGTTTAAGGAAATCAACACATATTTGTTATAATTAACTTGCTTAACCAATTTTTTTTAATTTATCTAAATTATTTATTTAACTCTTATATTAAGAACAAGAGATAGTATGTCAATTAATAAATTAATTAGAAAAAATTAATTAATAAATTAGAGAAATAACATGAATTAAATTATTTTCTTTGGTACCCGAGTAGAAAGCTTCATGAAAGATTCTTTTCAATTTCATGAACTCGCCTACTGGCGCGCTGGAAACTCGAATTCCAACGGTAGGTATGACTTTAAATACTTCCCAGATAATTAAATAGATCACGCAAAATTCCAAAGATGCAATTGCAAGGTTGGCAAGTTTTTTCCAAACTGAAAATCCAACGCTGCAATCCCTCCACTCATGGGCGTCCCAAAAAAAAAAATCACGCTCTCCCCACCTGCCTGAGCAAAAAACGGAAACCATCAAAGGCTTGCTCTGCCTTTGCTGATTCATCGTTTTTGTGTAAATTTCTCTTCCAGGTTTGAGTATTCAAATCCCAATAACTCGCTAGCATTCTGTGATTGTTGCAGCCACGGCCATTCGAATGGCAGCACCATCATCGGCTGTCTTCGCCGGCAAATCCAAGTACAGATATGACGTTTTCCTCAGTGTCAGAGGCGAAGATACTCGCCACTCCTTCACTGTTCATCTCTACGATGCTCTGCGTCGGAAGGGAATCAACGCCTTCATTGACGACAAGAAGCTTGGGAAAGGGGAGCGGATCTCACCTACGCTTCTTATGGCCATTGAGAAATCCAGAATCGCGATTATTGTGTTCTCTAGGAATTATGCAACTTCCACATGGTGCCTCGATGAACTCGCCCACATCATTCGGTGTAAGAAGGAGAAGAACCAACTGGTTATGCCCGTATTTTACAATGTGAATCCGATGGATGTTCAATATCAGAGTAACAGCTTTGGAGATGCCATGGCTGCTCTGGAAGATAGGTTCAGAGATGACTTAAAGAAAGTGCGAAAATGGAGATCTGCTTTGTCTGAAGCTGCTAGTTTGCCATCAGCATGGCTTTTGTGAGATGGGTAGGCTCCTTTATAGTTGTTTCTAATTGCCTTCTGCCAATGAAATATCCAAATTCTTGCTTAATAACTAGTGGTTGCGGATGATATGACACGCTTTTGAAGATTTATGAAATTTTGATCGGCGACTATTATTCTTGGATCTCTGTAAACTTGGGGCTTCAACATTTTGGTTTTAATAATGCTCAAGTTTCAGATATTTTGACATAAAGATTTTTAATTGAAATCTTAACTGCAAATTTTTATTGATTTTTTTTTTACTTATGTTCTATTTTGGGAAAATTGCAAATAAAAACCGTGGAATATATAAAATCACAATTTGGGTCCTTGAATTTATATAATTGCTGTCAGAGACCTGGTCCCAAATAGGAATTATGAAATGTTGATTAAAAGTCAAAAATACCCTTCTGCTTCTCCTTGTCTTTTTTTCATCTTATCATCTCCTTCTCTTTCCTTTTCTTCCCCTCGATCCTTCTCTCTGTGCTTCTTTTTCCTCCTCCTCATCTCATTCCCCTTCCTTCTCCCTCTTCTCCAGTCCCACTTCCTTGTCCTTAACCCCATCTCTCCCAACTTCTCATTCTCTCTTTTCCCTCTGTCATCTTCTTTGTTCCTTCTCCCAAAGCAAGTGAATAACAGGACTTAGAAGAAGGATGCCAAGGGAAATAATAATTAAGCTCAACAAGACTCCCGTTGGATATTGTTGAAGCCTAGCTTCAGCAGGGAATTGGGTTCCAGTTTGTCACCGGTTCTTGCGTTGAAGTCGAAGATGGTTGCAGCGACGACGGCAAGTGTGCGATGATTGCTTGGTGCTCAGACAACGCCCAACAAATCTGGATTTTTATTCTTCATTTCTATTTTAATTTTCAGCTTCTGTTCATAATTGAAAATAACAAGTTTGATAAGTTGTTGAAAATAACAAGTTGACAAGTTCTGATACCCAATTCACGACAAGTTCAGTAATACGAATAACAAGTTTAGGAAGGAAAATAACAACTTCTGATAAGCAATTCATAGAAATTCGAGTTTCTGTGTTAAAATGATAGCATTTTTAGATTTCTTTAGCAGATGACAAGTTCTGATACACAATTCATGACAAGTTCAGTAAGGCGAATGACAAGTTTAGTAAGGCGAATACAACTTCTGATAAGCAAATCATAGAAATTTGAGTTTCTCTGTTAAAATGACAGGTTCCCATTAGGTTTTCATACTTTTTCTGTTAAAATGACTGAATTTCCACATTGATTTATGAAAATGACAGGTTCACAATAGAAAATGACAAGTTTCCACAAGATTTTCATACTTTTTTTTCCTAGAAATACAGTTTGTACATTTCTGACAACAACCACTTCTGATAAACACGAAATGACAAGTTCACAATGAAAAATGACAAGTTAAGTATGACAAATGACAAGTTCCCATAACGTTTTCATACATTTTCATACTTTTTCTGCTGGAATTACAATTTGTACATTTCTGACAGCACCAACTTCTGATAATTGCAAAAAAGCTCTAAATTGTGGAAATCAAGTATGATGATTATATTTCGGTGGATAAATCGATCAAGGTGTGGGATGTGAGAAACAAACGAGCCTTAAATACAGTGCTAAATGAATAAAGTTCTCACCTTATATGTAGAATTTGATGGTTTCTTGTTCATATGATATGACAATTTACATTTGGGATTTCATGGTTGAGGATGCACTTGTGAGTGGATATGATCATCATAGTGCATTTGCCGCTGGTGTTGATATGAGCATGCTTCTTGAGGGGCTTATGAGAGTTCTGGTGCTATAGTTTTATACATTAGGAGGAAATGAGAGGTGAAATTGATGATAAAAGATGTTAATCAGAAGTGGTTACTGTCAGAAATCTACACATTGTTATTTCAGCAAAAAAATTTACAATTGTATGAAAACGTGATGGGAACTTATCATTTTACATACTTAACTTATCATTCGCTATTATGGGCTAGTAATTTACTGTTTATCAGAAGTGTTTGTTGTCAGAAATCTGCACATTGTTATTTTAACAGAAAAATTTACAATTGTATGGAAACGTTATGAGAACTTGTCATTTTACATACTTAACTTGTCATTCGCTATTGTAGACTTGTCATTTACTGTTTATCAAAAGTGGTTGCTATCAGCAATGTGCAAATTGTGATCCTAGCAGAAAAAGTATGAAAACATTATGAAAACTTGTCATTTGCCATACTTAACTTGTTATTTTCCATTATGAACTTGTTATTTCGTGTTTATCAAAAGTGGGTGCTATTAGAAATGTGCAAATTATAATTCCAACAGAAAAAGTATGAAAATGTATGAAAACATTATGGGAACTTGTCATTTGCCATACTTAACTTGTCATTTTTCATTATAAACTTGTCATTTCATATTTATCAGAAGTTGTTGCTGTCAGAAATTTGCAAATTGCAATTCCAGCCAAAAACAGTATGAAAATGTATGAAAATCTTATGGAAACTTGTCATTTTCTATTGTAAACCTGTCATTTGATAAATAATGTGAAAATCCAATCATTTTAACAGAAAAGTATGAAAACCTAATGAGAACCTGTCATTTTAACACAGAAACTCAAATTTCTATGAATTGCTTATCAGAAGTTGTCATTCGCTTTACTAAACTTGTCATTCGCCTTACTGAACTTGTCATGAATTGTGTATCAGAACTTGTCATCTGCTAAAGAAATATAAAAATGCTATCATCTTAACACAGAAACTCGAATTTCTATGAATTGCTTATCAGAAGTTGTTATTTACCTTCCTAAACTTGTTATTCACATTATTGAACTTGTCGTGAAGTGGGTATCAGAACTTGTCAATTTGTTATTTTCAACAACTTATCAAACTTGGTTCAGACATCACCATATTACTGTCAAAACAAACAAGAAATTGCATTGACTTTTTATAAGATTCAAAGTCTAAAATACTTTCTAAGAATTCTAGCATAGCATCTATCAACGTAAAACAATAAAAAAGCACCTCAAAGAGAGTCTTTAGCTCAGAATCTTCAACATTGTTGTTAATGTTTCTAACAAAAATTGTTCTAGAAGAATGTTCAACAAAAAAAAGTTTCCCTTTAAAACGTCCGAAGCAACTAGGATCTTTATCTGGACCATTGGCCCCCTTTTCCTATAGTTAGATGTTCATCGCCTTCCAGCTCCATACCTCCACCACTGCCAAACAAATCAAAATCTTCCAGGTTATCACCAGTTTTGATAAATTATTGAAACTTGAGTCATCAAAAACACCAGAAGATGGACCATCTTCATCAGGAAGGAGATTTCTAATGGTGTTAGCCTCAATTTCTTCAAGAGATTTGTATGGTTCATCATCAAGAAGAGGGAGACAAGTCGGAGAGTGAAGAAAGAGGGAGACGACTTGGAAAGTGAAGAAAGATAAAGTTAGGGCATGTAGACAAGGGACTGCAAAAAAGCAGAAGGGCGTTTTTGTCTTTTACCTAACATTTCATAATTCTTATTTGGGACCGGGTCCCTGACAGCAATTATATAAATTCAAGGACCCAAATTGCGATTTTATATATTCCACAGTCTTTATTTGCAATTTTCCCTATTATTTAGTAATTTGCTAAGATAATTATCACTAAATGGGTGAAGTGCTGGAGACAAACAGTATCTAACTATCTATTGTCAAGCCAAAGAGGGAGGAAACTATCTTTTCTTACCGTCAGTTGCTCACAAATATTTTTATTTTTGTAATTTTCAAGTATATTGGACATTCATATCTGACGACATAACGAGTACTCTTTTGTTTTTTTGTTTTTATTGGCTTATGTACAAGAAGAATGAAATATTCTATTTTTTGCTAGTGAACAATGTAGTTTTTTATATACTATATATTTGGCCTTCATGATGGTTTTTTTTTTGTACTTAAAAGGTACTATTATTATGGTCGCATGTATCTCATAATCTTTTAATTTCAAATATAAATCCTTTTATATAGTGAAGGGATATGAAATTGAGAGCTAATTGAGATTGAGGTTATCTTTGAAGAATTAAATAAGATTTTACTTGAAAGAGTTATGATAAATGAGGAAAAAAAAGTAGAAAATGGCATTTTGCAACAATCATATCCACAATAACCAGGGAATCTATACTTTTGTAGATATGGATGTGGGGTTATTGAAAAGATTGTTGAAGACGTATATGCCATGTTACCTCCTAAATGCTTGCATTGCCGTGAGTACATGGTTGGACTTGAGCCTCGCATAGAAATGATGAAGTCACTTTTGGATCATTCTAATAATGGCATTTGTATGCTGGGGATTTATGGAACTGGTGGAATTGAAAAAACAACCCTTGCAGATCGGCTTTGTGTAATTCAATCTTCTACCAATTTGAAGGCGCATGTTTTTTGTTTAATGTTAAAGAAGCGTCAAAGAAATACCAGGACATCGTTCATCTTCGGCAAACGCTGCTAACAGAGATTCTTGAGGAAAGGAACACAAGATTTGGCAGTGTTGATAAAGGAATATCTAGAATAAAACACAGACTCTCTCACAAGAGTCCTATTGGTTCTTGATGATGTTGATGAGGTTGAACAGTTGGAAAAAATAGCAAGTGGGCGTCATTGGTTTGGTTGTGGAAGCAAGGTCATTATAACAAGAAGAAATAAGCAGTTGCTAGTTGTGTGTAATGTTGAGAAAACATATGAAATGAAGAGGCTAGATGATCACGACTCTCTTGAACTCTTTATTGGCATTCATTCCATTTGAGCCAGCCTCCAAAAGATTATGAAAAAATGTCCAGATCTGTGGTAAGTTATGCAAAGGGCCTTCCTCGGGCTTTAAGATTAATAGGCGCCAATTTGGCACATTAAACTTTAGGGAATGGAGGTCTATATTAGGACTATATGAGAGGATCCCGGAAAGAACACTTCTAGACATACTAGAGATAAGCTACGGTTGCTTACAAGATGGTGCTAAGGGTTCTTTTCTAGATATTGCTCGTTTCTTTAAAGAG